GGTGCGTGCCGGGCCCGGCAGCCGCTCCGTTAACGCGCCCCGAAGGCACGTGCTGCCCCGAAAGGGCCGGGGTAAACATCTCGCATCGCTTAAACGCGGCCGAGTTCCCAAACTGTGCCACGCGGCCCCCCGAGCGACTTGCAAACCACGCCGGCTTGCAAACCAGCTTCCGCTCCGCTTAACGTCCGTCTCCGTCCTTCACGCAGGAAGCCTCAAGATCGGCAGTTCCTCGGCGCTCCGGTTTTTATACTTTGTAAAAGCTTCACCTGCCCAGATAAAAGCTAGAAGGAAGTAACCGGAGCATCAGTTTGCAGGTAGTTGTCTGACCTGCGCCTGGCGTTGGAAAGCTGAGGCCGCCAGAGCCGGCGGGAGGGACTTGGTCACGGAGCAGGAAGCTAATGACATTGCAGAGCTGGGGACCGGTGCAGACAGACAGATCAGTAAGAAATAAGGCATCCTCTCCTGTAACGGCATGGCTCTAGTCCGTTCGTTTGTACTGGCCTGAAAAGCAGCTCAGACAGGAAATTTGGAAGAGGTCTTTGGAGCAAGCGCCGTGTTTGTTACCTGTTTGCGCAGGGCTGCAGCTAACAGAGTTTTTTCCTCCAGGGGCTGCGATCCAAGTAACAACGGTTATACTTTGTGCAGGGCAGGAGTGCTGCTAAGGCAGCGAGCGGCCCGGACTAGCGACGGCAGAGCAGCGGTCAGCTGTATGGTGGGACACCCAAGAGCACGCTCCTGGCGCGGCGCTCCGGGTCACCAGACAGCGCTAGGGAGTTCAGAGCTGATCCGAGCTCACCAAAGGCAGCGGCTGCCCTCGCCCAGCGTTTGCTTGGCTTTGGAGCAGGCTCCAAACTCCCGGGAAAGCTCTTTTAAGACATGCAGCTAATCAAATCTTACAGCATGTTCTCAGCCTGTTTATAGACTTCGAAACTTCTACGGGTGTGAACGAGACAGGCTGCTTTTTCTGGTAAGTCAGTCTAGCAACTTGTTCTCGTTGCTCCATTCTTCTGGGGCTCCGCGCTAAACAGCATGCCAAAGGGCGTCTCTTGCCTTGCAGCCCGGCATTTCCTCCGGACGACACGGTCCAGTCGTTCAATGTCGCTTTGCAATTCCATAGCTTCAAACGGGACCTCTTCACAAATCCCCTTTGAGGCACAGAGACAGAAGCTGGCTGTCCTTGCCACTTAAAGGTTATCAGCTTGGATGAGGTTATTGACTTTGCCTGTGACTTTGCCTGGGGGGGGGGGGAGGGAACCCAAAACAAACAAACAAAAACAAAGAAGAAACCAAGCAAGAATAAAATTTGTTATTATAATGCTCAAACATAGAAATGAAAGAGGGTTTCCTCCCCTTTGTCAAACACACACAACTTTTTCCCCTTTAAACACTCCAAAACCAGTTAAAACCTTTAAAGCCAAGTTGTTTCACGCATGCTTTTTATATGAATCGCCTATAGGTCAGGGAGAGCGAACACCGCGCTGGAAGCTGACCCAGCTTCCCACCGGCGCTTTGGAGAGCCTGGCTAGCCATATCATGCAAAACAGACACAAGGTCTTGCTGTCAGGAGAGCTGTACTGACCTACCTCAGCTGTGATTTTAAGCTTGGGCAAAAAGCTTTGCATTAACGCAACTCTCTAGATTTGTTTAGCGAGGGTAAGAGAAGGATGGCAACTCAACGCGGCTCAAACAGAGCGAAACAAGTAACCCGTACGTGAAACAGCGCTGCTCGAGTTTTGCATTCTTAGCAATACTTTTCACTTACACCGGAGCAGATCTCTGATATGAATTTAAGCGAGTGCGAAGGCACGAGTGTATCAACCAGCTGTTTGCTAACTGGCTGTGGAGCAGATGGCTGATAGCAGTGTAGGAGTCTTACAGAGACATCCTTGGCTGAGCTTTAAGGCACCCACCGTGGGTAGTGCCGGGGAGGTGGCCCGGCAGCTGGCGGATGCTGCAGCCCGCCCTGCGCTGCCGCGGGCTCTAGCTCGCCGGAGTAGACGCGAGAGCTCTCTTGGCTTTTTGCCAGGGTGGAAACTGGGCCAGAGGGACAAGGATGGACATCGATCTCAGAGAAGAGAGTGGGTGCGATAGGAACAGGACCCCAGGACGCTTAGCTGTGCTGGTGGGAGAGCTTTTCACTAGCAGGCAGGGAGGGTACAGAGGAAACGGGGAGCCTGTGAAAAGCAGCGTCACCTGGGAGCAGCCCTGGTAAATGGGAGCTTTATTTGCCTCCCCAGCTGAAGCAGCAGTTGATAGGAACAAATAGGAAGGGTGGGGGCTGAGAAGCCTCTGCCAAGGATAGCGGGGAGTCCATGGAGAGCGAGCATCTGGGCCCGGAGCCAGGCTTTAGCTAAGCCTGCCCTGGGAAGTGCTCCCTGGCTCTCGACACTTCTGCTCAGGATTTCCACTGGTGAGGAAGGAGGGGAGGGAGAGCCGAGAGGGTGAGGCTTGAAGAAAGAAGATTCAACAGCCCGGTGTTTTAAATCAAGGAGACTGCCTTCCGCAAGGCCCCATCCCAGCAGCCCTGCCCCTCCCCAAGCCTCACGCTGTGCAAACATCGCCGCCTTGAAACGCGGCCAACAGCCACATCGCCAGGAACTGCTCGGCCCGAGCCGCCGGGCCCCGC